GTTCTGCCATGACATGGATTTTGTTTAATTGTGAACTCGCATGTTTAGGTTTATTGTCATTGATTTAGATTGACAACAACATTGTAACAATTTCATAAAAATGGTTTGTCTGTGTGAGTGTTTCGGAGGTTCATACTGAGTGAATATAGATTTTGGTGTCTGATTACCATGGCAACAAAGAGTCAAATCATTTGGGTCAGTCCTGCTTCCCATAAATAACTTAAAGATGCTCAGAGCAACAACTATTGAACAACACAGAACACATCTTCAGCTTGCTCTAACACCCGTACACAATTATATATTTTAGTATTGATTCCCTGATTCTGCTAATATTGCTTTTTAAAGTTGTTCCATTGCTCTCAAAGCAAATTTTCATTAGAATGTGAGTATTTGTCGATAACAGCGAAGGTTTTAACAAACAATAAATTACACTGCGAATAACCATGGTGCATGGTAGTTAGTCATCAGTGTTTTTGCATCACCCTAATCTCACATCTTTTCTTACCTGCAGCAACTGGATGAGTTCACAGATGTCAATGAGGGAGAGAAGGAAGTGATGAAGCTGTGGAATCTGCACGTCATGAAGTATGGGTACGTGGGAGACATTACTGCATCTTCATGAAGTATTCCTTAAAGGTCACCTATTATTCAAAATCCACTTGTTCATGTCTTTTATACATAAACATGTGTCCTCTCTGTGTAAAGAGATTCTGAAAGTTTCAGGAAAAAAGATTCGCTCTCTTTTTGTCCTGATCCATTTAAACATATAAAAACCTGTCTGAAAATGAGCTGATCAGATTTTGGCCACTTTATGATGTCATAAAGGTTTTTTGGCTTGTGTAACCATTAGCCAATCACCAACCAAGGTAACCCCCCCCCCCACCTTATCACCTGAATCTCCTCTTATGGCGCATTCCCATTGCAGGGCCTCGCTCGGCTTAGTACGGTATTGTTAGGCCTTGTTAGGACTGGCTCACTTTATGCTGCGTTTCCATTACAGTTTAGTAGCTGGGGCAGTAACTATAGTAACGCAGTGTAGGCGGAGCCGTGACGTCATCTTCAATGAGAACCCCAGAAAAACAACATCAGCCGTTAGCTGTTAGCACTCAAGCTCACAGCTCCTCATATCTGTTCAGAAACTAGACAAAAGTTAAACAAGTGCAAACCACAGACTGTCTGTGTCATGGCGAATACAGTCGCTGGTTTATTTATGTCTGTAGGCCGTTGTTGTGAGTGTGGACGGTCGGAGCATATACAACGTTAGCTTAGCCAATCTCCATTCAGAAAACACGCATTTTAAAAGGTTTTTCGCCTGCCGTTTGTCTGCAGACTCGTCTGAATGCGCCATTAGAGCACCATTGTGTTTTTTTTTAACCAAATATCTTGCAGAGGGGCGTTGGGAGTGGCACCTTATCTTCATCTAAAGTAAAAGACAGAATCAGCACTTTTGAAACAGAGGGGTTTATGGGATGCTACAATGATCTGTTTGGTGTTTGGAGCCAAACACTTCAGAGACATGTTTTGTATATAACTGAGAATGAAAAACAGTATAATAGGGGACCTTTAAGCTTTAAGCAATATAATTGTTGGTTAATGTGTATAATTATGAATGTTAATCTTGACAGATAACTTGATTTAAACCCTGAAGAGAAATGCTTGAATTTAGTTTTAGAAAAAGCTTTGGAAAACCCTTTTTACATTTTTTTTTAAACAGTGTTAAAACAAGAGGGTTGCTATAAATTCAAAACCTAACCAGAGCACTTTGATATTCTCTTGTTATATCTCATATCTGCAGTTTTTATATACTGAAGTGTTGCTTAGTCACATATACAGTAGGACTAATCTTTGCAGCTCTACTCTTGTTTAGAGTTCCTCTTTTCTCCAGTTTCATAGCAGATAACCAGATGAATCAGGCCATCATGCATTTCGCGGAGAACAATGGACCTCACATAATCCGCCGCAAACTCTGCCGCAACTTCCTCCTGCATCTAGTCAGCATGCACGACTTCAACCTCGTGAGCACAGCCACCATCGACCATGCCATGGCCCGCCTGAAACAGATCCAGGAGGAGCTTCCAGACACAGAGGAGGAGGAGGAGCAGCCGGGCCAGAGTCTGGTACCAGCAGCAGCCTGCAACGGCACCGTCACCCCCTCCACCGCAGGGAAACTGGGCAAGAGGACAAAAAGCACACTTACAGACTGATGAAGGATGGATGGATCAACGATTCTCGTATTGTTTGTTTTTTTTCCGTTTCATCCTGAATGAACATTTCCAACTCTATGGTGCTTAGATAGGTGAAAGAAGTGGTCAGCGGAGGATCTGACCACAAGCAGACCAGTATACAAGGTAAACAAGTTTTGGGAACTTGAGAACTGAACCAAATATGAACAATTTAAAAAAAAAAAAAAAAAAAAAAAAATGTGAATCACCCACATCTACACAAACCAAGATTTTGTGGAATGTGAGTTGAACCTACTTAATGTGCATTTTGTAGGAGCCATTGAACTATCTGTCTTTGGGTGAGAGAGTGAACAAACGGTCTGATGATGTGGCGCGACTGCCTTTGGTATGTGATAGACAACTATCATGACTACAGTTAAAAATGTACTGGTAACATTGTCACTCTTAATTATTTGTACACATACACAATAACCTTGTTGAGAACTTATCCTTTTAGCTGATTATTTTAGCACTTGGTGTTTGTATTTAGAGAGTTTACCTTGAAATTGTTTCCTCTTTTTTTTATTCCTGCTGCACCAAATGTTAAATGCAGCTTTCCCAGTGTCATCAGTGGAGACACTTTCGGGGGTCCAATTTCACTGTTGTGAATGAGACTTCCTTTTAAGGGTCTGACAGTTACAGTCAGTCCACACTATTGGCACCAAGTTATAGATTATATAAAGCCTGTAGAGCTTGTTAGGAACCCAAAATGTTTGATTGTGGGTTTTGCTGGTTGGTTGCAATGACAATAGTACTGTACTGTACTGTACTGTAAGCATTGGGATCTGGAACCACATTCAATTCTGGTTTGGGTCCATGCTAAAACTCCTACTTCATCACCCCTAAGCCTTTCGGCCTGCATTGATAACAGCTAAAGGAAAGCCAGGGAAATCACTGTTTCTGAATATTTTATTTACGTAAAACAACCAGCAGCACATCATCCCATTTATCGTGCATAGCATTCAAGATAAAATATCAACTTTTTCTGATTGCCTGTAGTTTGTTTTCACTTTGAGGTTTCAACACGTTTCATTTTCTTTCAACATGAATGTCGGAAGCTATTGATAGAAATGTAATCTCATCAAATGTTTAACTCTGTCCCGGTATGAATCTGATAATGAACAGATATCAGTTTTTCTTTCAAAGCAATATGCTCTTTATTGGATGTTTGGTTTTCAGATCCAAGTCAGTTTTCTGTCCCGTTGGGTGCAATTTATGCCAAAGGGGAATATTTCATAAGTCTTTTAGTTCTGTATATTATTCGGGATATTTTCTTATGTTCTTTCCATAACATAAAAAGCAGCTGTAGTTGTGTTTTCTTGTGTGCACCTAAATTGGTGCACATCAACACTCATTCGTTCAACAGACATCTCTTTTCTGGCTGTATGGGACAACTAAATTGACAATACTCCTCATTTCATGGAAGGTTTCTGTTTTCATCTGACATATTCACCATTTTATGTAAAAAAAAAAAATGTACACTCTGGTTAGGGGGACTTTTATATTTAAAGAAATAAAATACATTTGACCTTATTCATGGCTGTCATGTTTTAGTGATTTATGGACACTAGTCATTATTACACTCTATCATGGACTCTGTCTGGCAATTCCAGTTGAATAACTCAATTTGAATCGGCGTGGACCTTGACTTATAAAGGACAAACTGTATGTTATAATATAAAGAATTACATGTATTGTTATTAATTGCATAGCTGTCTTTTGAGAGAAATTAACAGCTGCATATTAGGTTATAGGTCTTTTAGGTGATATAATTCAGACCTGCAAAACAGTTGGCTTTTCCTAACTTGAAAGTCACTTTTTTCACTTTTTTCTTGAACTTTTGACCACATAGTCAGACCACATAGCTGAATGTAGTTTGGTCAATCATTTTTAGTCGTGAAAAAAGCAAGTAAAAGTAGCTGAGGTGCAGTTCTAATAAGCTTTAAAGATCAGACCCCTTTTAAAATGAATGTTCAAACAAGGCAACATTGGATAAGTAACATTGGAAGTAAACTTTGCATCTCTCCAGTGAATATCAAAGGAAAAAGGTTACCTATCATTCTGACCTTGCAAATCTCCCAGACACATTAGGTGTATCCAGGGGTGCCTTAAGGGTGTGAAAAGTTAGGACGATTCTAAGGGCCCGTGACTGACGGGCCCAAACTATTTTAGAACATTAAGAAAAAAATGTTTAAGTAACCAATGTGATTATCTTTTCATGGGGCCCAAAATCCCTTGCAGCGCCCCTGGGTGTATCCAGAGAAAGCTTCTTTCTAAAGGGAAGAAATATTCCATATTGTCAATTGTGTTTCTTCTGATTTATTTTTGAAAACCGTGTTAAAATAAAGTTGTTCTGCTTATGAGATCCTGCAGTTTCCAAAAAGTGTCAATAAATATTTCCCCTGACCTCTTGACACTCCAAAGCCATACTTTTACTCAAGCTACTGTGAAGGGGTGTTTCTCAATCGCGAGTAAAGCTGCTTCAGAGCCACTATTTCAAGCATACTACGTCATCGAGTGCCGCCGAAGTACTGTTCCAATCTCCAGTATACTTGGAAATCTACCGAGCCCGGCGTACTCCGTTTGGAGAAATATCGAGTGTGCACATGAGTAGACTTCGCGGTCTTAAAATCCCCACAATGGTTTGCGCACGGACCAATTTCCCCAAATCTGTGGCGGAAAATGTAAGGCGGGGCCTCTCATATGACGCACACTTGTTAGCGTGTTCCTCTCTTTGTTTTCCGAATGTCAGGAAGTATTCTTGACTCGCTTCTGAAGCAAGATGCTCGGCAGACATGTGCTACCAAGCAAGCGTACTCGCGATTGAGAAACACCCAAGGTGTGTGCTCCATTGTCCACCGTCTGGCTGTAATGAACATATTTAGGTGGCTCTCACAGGTAAAAGCTGTCCGTTATTGATGTGCTTTAAATTGCTTTCAAGGCAGAGACTAGGTTCATATAAGAGAGTAACATGTTGTTTTGGCCAAAGCTGCCACTGGCCCACCTAGTTAGACTTTCTTTATTTGTCTCGTGATTTTTTTAATTTAACAAATAAGCAGTGAGTTTATTTTTCAAGGGACTCACTCTTCAAATATAGAGCCTTTTAGACATTGTGGCAAGCTATTTTATTTCATTAATAATTTGTATAGCACCCTCCATCCACGAAATGCAGCACGAAGTGCTTTACAAAAACGAAAGATGAATATATGTACAGTCTATGATAAAAACACATCAATAAAAAGTTATCTTCAACTTTTTATCTTTTTTACATATCTCTGTAAAGGCAAAAATACACGATCTACACAAAAGTACACAATCTGGTGACAACAGCGAGAGCTACCACTCTGCAATGAATTCCGAGGAAGAGTATTTGAGATGGGATTTTCGACGAACATCTGTATCTTACACGAAGTATTGTTTATGTTTTTAAGTCCGCAGTTAGTAACAACCAGAGCCGGTAACAACGTTTAGGCGTAGGCCTATGTGATGCAAAACTCAAACTATGTCCCTATGTATGCATCATGAGTTTGGTAGCCTCGGTAAACTAAACGAGAGCCTCCTCATTGTTTGTATGAACACGATCTTTGGTTATATCATACCGTCTCGCGCACGTTTTAAACGTCATTTCAGGGTAGTTGGGATGTTTTTGGATTCAAAACAGAAGTTTGTTTTATTTTTGGCTTTTTCAATTCCCTACTTCAATTAATTAAGGTACACTATTTAGTTCACTCGCTTGGTTAGTGTAGCAAATTGTCGTTAGCATAATGCCAAGAGTCTTTGAATTAGCAGTACGATGCGAAACAAACTCAAGCGGAGCAACAAATGTAAAGATGCTCCATGTCCGAGCAGAGAGCAGCCGAGAACAGCCGAGGTGATACGGTTGGTGTTGTCAGACTCGAGTTGTTCCTATGATGAAACATCGCCAGAGAGAGATTCAGCCTCGCTGGCTGCAGGAGACACACATGTTGCTCCTGCAGGCATCTCCACCACACAAGTTAAACCACTGCAGGAGCAGAGGAAGACTTTTTGCCCAAAATACGTTAAAATTGCACCAATTTTCTTACGTACAACTAAGCAAAGCCAGAGTAAAGGAAGCCAGGATGTGAAACTGGATCAGCCTGAAGACAAGGTGCAGGAATTAGTGCTCCCTGATGTGCAGCTGGGGAAAAGTCAGCAGCGTGTATCACCTACAGAGAGAAAGAGATCCTGGAGAGCACAGCTGTCAGCCTCAGCTCTGCACATCTGCATGGAGGAAATCCAAACCTCCAACCCAGCGTTATCAGTGCAAACAGTGTTCAATACTTTGCAGAAGAAAGCGAGTGACAGGCTGCAGAATGTGGGATCCACAGGTTAGATTGAGTCACAGTCTGTTATGTTGAGTGTGCTTTCAATTGATGATTTAGTTTAGTTTATGCATTCAAAAAGTAAGTTAAAGCTTGATTTTCTTCAACTGAATTTCTGCTCTTCTTTCCGAAGCAGAAAACTCCCGTCAAATCCACTTAACTGAGAAGAGAAAACGGGTAAATGAAAACTCTGAGAGGGTGTTCAAACGTCTGAGGTCTAGTGTCACAGCAGAGGATACCGTTGGTATGGGTCACTGTCCCGTGTCAACACATTTTATCCAGGAATATCCTGTCCTATTGGTCCAACAGCAGCGCAGAAGCAACAAGCTCAGTCGTACTCACAGGCTGAGGCAGCAAAGTGGGGGCCCAGCAGGCCTCGTAAACCACTGTGAGCCCCTTCCTCTACTGATAAATCAATCAGAGTCTTGCATCCAGTCACTCAAAACCTCTGACATCCTTCAAAAAGGTAAACCTGTCAAACTATGATTGGTTTATGACATGTTTCATGCCCTCTAATAGCACAAACACATAACATTTCCTCCCTTTCGTTTGTCTAGATTCCAGTTTTGAGGATGTTCTCTGGACAGACAAATACAGTCCTCAGCATATAAGTGAAGTCATTGGCAACTCCGCCTCTGTGAATAAACTACAAAGGTTGGTTTTATACAATACACTCCCTCAGACTTTACTGATATATTGTAGTAGAAAAACCCGTGAGGGCATAATCTTTTCATTTGTTGTGTGTTTTTATTGAATTCAGTTGGTTAAAGAAATGGAAACTAAGAGCTGACTGTGACGAGAGGAGAAAAATGGAGGAGAAGAAGCAAGAAGATAACAGCAATGGTATGAGCTGGTATTTATCACATTTGCTCTTGTATCTCAGCTTAGGGTTAAACTTTTAACGTGGTCAATTTGGCATATTCAAATTTTTAGTATAGCAAAAAATTGGTGACAAGCTTGCTTATAATGTGCACGTGACTTTTAATGACTCAGGATATTATAGAACTTTCCATGTGTGGGGCTATTTGGTTGGAAAATGCATGCCTGTCCTCCTGTGCAGACTCATGGGACTGTGGAGACTTCCAGGGTGAGGGGGGGGGCCGAGGGCGACCGAGAGGAGCCGCTCTGCAACACCATGCTGATCACCGGACCTCCAGGGGTGGGAAAGACCGCCTCGGTGTACTCCTGCGCCCAGGAGCTTGGCTTCAAGGTTGGGTTCAAACTGGGTCAATATCTTTGTATCTCTTCTGCCAAATGATGATCATCTACATCCATATACATATCTTAAATATAACCATGCCAAAAAATGTGCTCTTCATTTCCACCAATAATTGATGCCCGGTAGGGTTGAAAATCTCAGTTTCTGCTCACCTCTGTGAACAACTGTGATAACAAAAATATGTCAAATCTTATCCACAAAATGCAGTAAGAGAAGACTTAGAATAATACAAAAAGATTTAAAAGGATAATATGAACAGTTTGTTAATGACTAAATAAACTGTTTCATTATCAGTGAGATCTGAGGTTATTCCACTGACTGTTCACCAATTTAAGGCAAGTTGACCAATTCAACTGGCTAAGTAACCTAACTAAGAGGAATTATCCTTTCATTTCCAAACAAAGGTGTTTGAGGTGAACTGCTCCTCCCAGCGCAGTGGCCGCCATGTTCTGTCCCAGCTGAAGGAAGCTACCCAGTCCCATCTAGTGGAGATGCCAGGGAAGGACCCACTGAAACCAACCTACTTCAACAACTACAGCATCAACAGCTGCACTCCTAGACCTGACACTTTACCTGGTGAGAATACACTTGCTTTCTGAAGTCCAGATAAACATAATAATTATCTCTTACTTACTGACTTACTTAGACAAACTCGCAACAGTTTCTTTTGTAAGAAAATGATGGTGCTGGATTTAAAGGTCACCTATTGTGCAAAATCCACTTTTCCATGTCTTGTATACGTTATTATGTGTCCCCTCTGTGTAAAGAGATTCTGAAAGTGTCAGGAAAAAAGATTTGCTCTCTTTTTGTCTTGATCCATCTGAAAATGAGCTGATCAGATTTAGGCCACTTTATGATGTCATAACGTTTTGGCTTGTGTAACCATTAGCCAATAACCAACCAAGGTAACCCCCCCCCCCCACCTTATCACCTGAATCTCCTCCTAGAGCATTTTCTGTATATATCTAGAGGCCTATAATATATTGGTGAAAAACAGTATAATAGGGGACCTTTTAAATAGTGTTTAAATGTATACATGAAGACAGAATTGGATGCTCCAATATCATATTTTATAGGCTTTAATGTGTTTTTCTTTCACAGGAAAATCAGTGCGTCCCAAAAACATCACCTGTACCTCTAAAAGGAAAGCAGCTCAGAACTTAGGTCACCCAAGTCGCAAAGGAAAAGCAAATCAAGCAACAGTCACTTTGACCAACTACTTTAAAATGAAGGCCAAAGCAGATCGCTTACACTTTGGGGATTTATTGCCATCTGATGAACCAGACGGCAGGAAATCCGTAAACCCATCACCAGGCTCTGATCAAACGGTGCCACAGAACAAAAAGACTGCCACGTCGCTCATTCTGTTTGAAGAGGTAAACCATCTGGCAAACCCACACTGTAACACATATCATTATCTGGATTTGAGTCTGCACATGTTTAGGCTGGTCTGATCCTTTTTGCATCTGTCTGCCACCGCAGGTTGATGTCATATTTCATGATGATGTGGGTTTCTTTTCGGCCATCAAAACGTTCATGACGACCACTAAAAGACCGGTCGTTCTGACCACCAATGGTAAATGCATACACTGTGTAATTTTAGAAAAGCTTTCAGAACAAGTTGTGATAGAAAATAAATAAATATGACTAAATCAAATAAATGTCTTCTTTAGATCCCTTATTCAGGGAGAGATTTAACTGCAGCTTGGAGGAAATCATTTTCAAAACCCCATCAGTGGTAAGTCAGACATTAATTTCTACAATATTGTACAACTTCAGTGTGACATACTTAGATGTTTCCTGAAGTAGCTCACACAGTGTACTGTAGGAGCCATATGTTGAAATGTATAATTTGATATATTATATATATATATATATATATATATATATATATATATATATTTGAACATTGTATTTCTTTGTTATAAGTATTATTATATCATTTATTTAAATCAGCTGTAATACAATTTACGTCATAGCCGACCGCAGCTGCTGCTAATTAGAAGGAAAAAGAATCACGGAGCAAAATAGTTTTTTGACCTTTGAAAATATGTATTTGTACTAATACCTTTTTGTTTAAGTAAACAGTCAATCAAACTTACCTGAGACTTACTTTTGTTGGAGTCAAGCTTATTGCTACATCCGGATATTCAGATCGTAAAATGTTGGATTAGACGGTACTACAGTGACATAAAAAGGATCTGCTTGATAGTGTATAGGCTTCCCACACATGCAGAATCATGATGGCAAATATTAGCATGAATAACAGTTTGTCATAAACTTCCTCCATGCATTACAAGGTGAATGTCTGCAGCTACCTGCAGTTGGTGGCTTTGGCTGAGAGCGTGCAGCTGGAGCTGGACGCTGTCAAGAGACTGGTCAGTCTGTGCAGAGGAGACGTCAGGCGCTGTCTGCTGCAGCTGCAGCTCTGGCTGCAGAGTGGAGGAGGACAGACATCTTGTGAGGAGCTTACTCATGTACAGCGTGAGTTACTCTAAATAAATCACAATCACTCCCCTAATAGACAATAGTTGTGTTACCAATAACATCAATTCAAATTTGCAGGATTTGCAGATTGTTCTACTTTGTAATGTATTGCAATCCCTACACTGCAATCTCAGGATATATAAAGCTCCAACTTGTGTTATATTCTCTTATCTAGATTTGAGTGGTCGTAAAAGAGGACAAGATGTAGACCTCCAGCTTCCTAAATCTGACCCATGCTGCGCTGCTAGCATGCTGGGTCTCCACACTGTGACCCAAAACCAACTGGTAAACCTTTTACAGGCAAGTATTGATGTGTTAAGATCGTGTTTAATCACTCCATTAACTTTTTATCAGGACAAAAACTGACATCATCTGTTGATCTTTTTAGTCTAATGTTTGGTCTGAAAATGACACGGACCAGCTCCTGAGGCTCCTGGCAGAGAGCTGGAGAGGGGGTGTTCCTCTTCTGTATTCAAACCTGGAGCTTCTTCTACCCGCCGGGGCCCCGGGGTCTTGTGCTGCGCTGCAGAACGAGCCGGACCCTCCTGACATCGATCTCCACATCAAGCAGCTCGATGGATATGTCAGTGTTAAGGCATCAGCCACCAACAGCAAATCTGTTAAGAACATCTCCAGGCTTAGCAGAAAAAAATGTATCACAGCAATGATTGACGACACATCATCTTCCAGTTTGACACAAAGAACTCCATTATCATCAAAAAGGGCTCCTTCAGCAGCTGCTACTAAAAGAGACAAGACTGAAAAAAAAGCAGCCAGAGTTGAAACCGACTGCCTGGACGCTTTGACAGACTTCTTTGACCTCATGTCGTACCTTGACTCAACAATGCCAGCTGCAGCAGCGCCGCTCGTTTCAGGCCGACCTGAGACCTTTGTCTGGACGGGGGCTGAGATAAAAGATGGGATGACGGATGAGATGAGTGCAGACTATGATGTGTGCTGGACTTTGAGCCAGGAGGGGCTGCTGGACGTTCAGGCTGCTGCTGAGGGCTTGGGGTTTCACAGGTGCTGCTGTCGAGTGTCTGAGGCATGGACTGAAGCCCAAAAATATAAACAGGAAGTGGGAGACGCAAGTTGGCGGAGGCTGTTGGAGAGAATGACATTACCTGCCTCTTCCAAACACCAGAGCCTCAGCTTTAGTTTTCAACCTCCGTGTGCAGCAAGGTGAGTCTACTCTCCATCCTAACTTCTGAATTATTATTATTTTTACTACCAAGCATACCAGTATTTTTTTAAAGGTCCCATGTCATGGCCATTTCTACTGATCATAATTCCATTGTTGAGGTCTACTAGAATAGATTTACATTGTTCAATGTTCCAAAATCACATCTCTGTATAGTATGTGTATTCACTCTCTGTCCTAAACGGCTTGTTGGAGCTCCTGCCCCCCCCTCCCTATGAGCCCACTGTGCTCTGATGTGTGTTTATGTGTTACAATGGCGTTTGTTAGCAACCAGAAAAGGACACCAGTAATGACAAACAGATGAGAATGCTGCGTGGGGTCTGGGTGCCGTGTTGGCGGGACGTTGCAGGGCTCGTTGCTCCGCCCTTTGAGGCTCGAGGAGCGGACAGTGTGAGCTGGATTACTGGTGTCGTTTCCTGGTTGCTGCGTGGGGTCTGCGAGACAGCGAGACACCAAGGATCTCAGCCTGAGCACACACACGTGAGTGTGTGGCGAACTGTGAGTGGAGATCCACGGAGCCGCGGCTGAGAAAATATAAGGTGTGTGCCGGCGAAACTCCGCAGAGTAGCGCGGCTGAGAAAAGATAAGGCTGAGTGAGTGTGTGTGTGTGTGTGTGTGTGTGTGTGTGTGTGTGTGTGTGTGAGGAGCTCCACGGATTGGTCCATTTGGACCTGGGTATCGTTACGTCACTATACTCAGGAAGAAACAAATGGAAAAAGACAAATCTCCAACGAGGCGTTCTGGGGCAGCATAGACAGGTCTTTTCTGTGTTAGAGTTTTACTCGCTACAGGGTGTACTTTGAGGGTTTGTGACTTTGCAGACCGTTTACATGAAGAAAAAGCTACATAACACACAAGGGGACGGGTAATAACCAGAAAAGCATGACATGGGACCTTTAAGGACTGTTAGGATTTTTTGTTTACAATGAATTTAGCAAAAATGTTTTTTACAACACTATGCATGTGTCTTTCCCTCCAGTGTGTGCAGGCGGAGGTACGAGCTGAGCAGGAAAGTGCTTGGCAGTAAATCCTTCGGCCTGCTGGGGAACAGACGAGCCGTCAGTGTGGACTACATGCCCGTCCTCCGATACATCTGTCGGTCTCAGAGAGAACAGAAAGAGGAGCCAGTCGGGTGAGACGGACACAATACAGGACACATCAATTAAATTAAAGAGGCCAACTACCTTTAGTACAAGTGATTAATAATTTAGCACTGATGACAGCACTGTTTTTAACAAATTAAATCTACTATTAAGAAATACCTCACCCACAAAGTTATCTATTGTATCTCCATTACTCACCCTTGTTCCTTTACATATGCATTTCAGGTAGTCTTAATATTAAAACCACTTCCGCATGTACATTTCTTTGGGGGGGGGAGTGAGCATAGGACTTGGATTATATTGTATGAGTTTTAAGAGATGGTGAATGGATGTGTTGAAATACTTTTTTATGTCTACTTGTTTTGATTGTTGGTTCACTGTGTAGTCAAGTTAGAAAACGTTTTATTTAAGAATTCATGGTAAGTAAATCATGGTAAATACAAAGGGCCATTTTTGGGTTGTAGTGTTCCTTTAACTTCATTATAATAAACTGGTGACACCAGGGCAGTCAGTGTGAGATGACACAAATAACACTTAAGACTTGCAGACAAACTCTAATGATTGCTCCCCCACTGTAGGTGTCTGAACTACCTCAGCAGCACTCACCTGGGCCTCTCAAAGTCAACCATCCAACTCCTGGCAGAAGATTTCCCATAGAGAACCTCACACACTACCTCACATTACTCCAGTCAGTGTTTTATTTGACTTCTGTGCATTTATTTAACTTATAACAATCTCCACCTAATTACTTTCAAATGAATTTGATGCAGCTGATGAGAAATCATGTTTTATTTCTGTGAAAAGTAAATAAAATCAATTCTATTTTTGCAAATGATCATTTTTAAACGACGAGTGTTCAGGTACTTATGTGGGTTGCTGTTGAGATCATTGCAGTGTTTTTCCTAAAAGTGATTGCATAATCCAGACAGCATTTACTTTATGATGAAGGTCCACTACAACAATAACAAAACATTGCAGAAACCCTCATGCTAAGCATACCAAAACGACAGTATTAAGAGTGTTTCATGTAACAGCAAACATATTTATTATCTTGTATCATCACCTTCTACCAAATCTGTTCAAGAGCTAAATGTTTGTTAAAAGTCCACAAAGGCTCAGAATTCCATTCCCAGGTTTGTTTTGGTTCCTGGGATGAGATCAGACCATGTGGCGGCTAAGCGGAGGATTTGCTGAGCAGTTCGTAAAAAGCCACAGCCTGGAGCAGAGCGTTACATAGTTCATCTCCTTCGCTCTTGCTCATCTGGAAAGCATTCATGTACTTCATCAGCAGATTGTGGGGGAAGTTTATCCTCGGGAGCTCCTTTGTCACAGAATCTGACATCAGCTGTCGCACCGTCTGCGCTCCACTGACCCGCGAGTCGCCCACCATGAGTTCAAAGTGACGCCCCACACCGGAACGCATCATGTTCAACACCCTGCAGAGGAAGGAAGTCAAGGGGGGAAATTATGGAACAAGTCATTGTTCAAAGTAGGGCTGTGCGATTATGGCAAAAATCATAATCACGATTATTTTGGTCAATAATTGATATCACGATTATTAAAAACGATTATCCATTTACTTTGAAAACATCCATATATTGAAAAAAAAATGTTGAACAGTATGTTTTTAACAGTTGATTACCCTGAACTTTAAGTATAATTCAACTGAAAAACCAATAAAAAAAAATTAAAAATTAAATTTTTTTTTTTTTTTAATAAAAATAATAATCGTTTTATTTCGATTACATTGTTTTCGTAATCGTTGCAAGCCAAAATCGTAATTGCGATTAAAATACGATTAATTGCACAGCCCTAGTTCAAAGCACATTTCACAATAAATGTCATTTGTGTTTGTACAGTATTTAGGCAGCTTTTATATTGGTAAAGTTGTAATTTATGACTTTTCTCACTTTGGAGGTGTGTTGGGCTCCAGGAGGAAGTTTTTCGGCTCCAGCAGAGAAAACAGCATGGCCTCCACAGTCCTCATGTGGGCCATGACCGGGAACAGAGTTATGCTCTGCACCGAGATGGAGGATTTCTCGATTATGTAAAAGTCAGCTGAGGGGAGGACTTTCAGAACTGCAGAAACCTGAAGGCAGACAGGAAACAGAATACATTTTTGCATTAGTACTTGGGTTTATTTTGTGTGCCTTAAATGACATCTAGATGTTAACAAAGGGAAAACAAATTGACAATAGGTGTCATATATTTTCTCTCCTCAAAACGAATCAACTAGTGTAACATTTCAATTGTAACAGGGGAAATCTGGTAATTATACTTACATCATTCAAGTAAGCAGAAGCCAGGTATGCTCCCTTAAGGAAATGTGGACATTCCATCTCTTGCCAATCCAACACCATCATCTCACGGTCCACATGAGCCCAGGCGATTTTATTAGTCCCGCACACGATTGACACAATTGCATTCGCCTCCTAAGCAGACAAATAGAGATTCATGATAGTTACAGTGAATGATCCTGATTTCTGAAATAAGACACAGTCAGTGCTATGACATCCAGACAGAGACACAAAATACGGCAGCATCTTTGTATAGTCCTTTTGTATCCCGCCCCTTTGTAGTAATTTAGTTTCTCTGTGGTAGTTTGTGTCTTTTAGACGTATTTTAGATTTTCTATGACATCATTTTCAGTCTTTGATTATGTCTCTTAATAATAATTTGCTGTTCCTCTGTAGTCGTGTGTCTTTTTGTGGTCATGCTAGTTTGTGGCTCTTGGCAGTCATTTTGTCCCTCTAGTCATCTATGTGACTTCCGCATCCCAAGTTATGTTTTATGTATTCATTGTTTTGCTTCTCTTTTGGTATTTTGCGTCTGCTTATGTTTCTGTAATTATTTTGTGTCCATTGTGGCATTTGGTTCTTTATCCCATAAGATATGTTATCATAACTTAACAGAGTTTCTCAGCCAGCTGTGCCCCTCTAACCCCACAGACACCCTCAGGCCAGTGATGCATGTAAAGACAAGTGCAGGGTTGCGGTCGAATAGTCCATTTAGCTTAGGAACCTTCCTAACGGAGTGAAATGACCCGGAAGTCCCTCAGTGGCAGCCATGATAAGTGCCGTTCGAATTCTCTAAATTAAAAGGAAAGGAGGTTTCAAACTTCCTTTATAACCTCCTTTAGCTTAGGAACCACTGGACCTCCCTAACCGAAAGGAGAGGAGAAAATGCTGCCCCACAATGCCTTGCGGCCGCCGCATTTGCCGTCACACAACAGTCGGCCGTTCACGGAAACAACCGATTATGAACGAGAAATGATATCATGAAAGTTACGGTGCTTATTAAGCATTTTAAAACGTATGTGGTAAGTTGCCAAAGTGCTTTGTTTTGAACGTTCATCAGTATTATAATCAAAAGAGAAATATGAACGTTAGTTTTTACTGAAATGGTCAAATAAAGTCAACATTTCACAGTCTTTACTGAGCTGTGTGGGGTTTGTTCAACTTTTAAAAGATGTTTGAATGGTGATATACACAGTGATAGATGTTAAGGACTAACGTTTATAATAAATACATTTGTATTGATTTTAAGATCTTTTCATACAATCATACGTATTGGGATCATTTGTATTAATGTGGACCGGAGGGAGAGGGTGACGAGCATAAGTTTCACTTTCCTTTTTTATTTCAATTCCAACTTTGGTCATGAAGAATATGTTTCTCTGTTGTCCCCGTTCATAAAGCATAAAACAACAGCATCAGAGCACGGTGCAGAGTCTCTAGATGAGTTTACAGTAGTCCCTCGTTCTTATTATACATCCATGTTGTAGTCCGCTGTATAGAAAACTGTAGTTTCCATAGTTTCCCCACAGCAGCAGACGCACATTTATGACCTCCGCTGGCGCATCATAAACACGTTGGATAGTGAAAGTGCAGTTGGATTCTCTAAAGTGCCGCAGTCTCTTCTCCTAAGTCCTTTTGAATTCTCCTATCCACTATCCCTTAACCCCATGACGTTTCACTCCGAGGTCAAGGAATAGACGATAGGGTTAGAACTTAGGAGCTGTTTTTTTGGAGTATTCGAACGCAACCCAGGTGTTTGGAAATACACAAGGACCTTACCTTCAACCAGGACCTGTTGACCTCTGGCTTGATAAACTTGGCCAACTGAATCTTCATATTCCTCTTCACGGGGTTGAGGATGGAGTCGAACACAGTGACAGCACTTTTGTGTTTCAGCAGCGGTACGTTCACCACACTCTCCAGAGTTTTAAAAGGTCCGTTTTTAGTCCTGTACTCCACGATGTTGACTGATTTTCGGCCTCGGAGGAGCTTGACGCCTGCCAGCTCTGACGGTGAGGCGTTGTTGAGCTTCTGGAGGATGGTGTCTTTTTGATCGGATGTGTAGCAGACATCCAGGGATCTATTGTCCTCATTGCAGGGCTCGGAGGTGGAGGTGGAGGTGATGGAGGCGTTCAGGGTCTCAAAGCCTGCCACGGGAACCCGGCTCTGCCAGCAACTTGTGCACTGGAGGTACCGCGGCTCCAGCTTCGGGAGACAGCCATGCAGAGGACTATGGAATAAACCAGACTGTCCCGCATACTGACCTGCAAAGGAAACACAAATCAACCCTGGTAAATATATATATTTTTATATTTATTTATTCAAGAACATATATGAACATCATATATCTTGTATACGAAAAGGGCTAGACATGTTAAGTAATAAGACAATTACATAAAATAAAAATACAGCTTCCTATTTCAGATTAAGTATTTGTTAAATACACAATTAGTTTTGATTTCCTTTTTAATCATAATGTTTTTTAAATGAATTTCCCCCGAGGGAGATCAATAAAGGTTCCTCTTCTTCTGATATGACACTTAATAGTGCTACTAAGTATCAGATCATACACACCACTATACTGTAGTTGTGTTATGATATGACATTAAACATTTTGAATCTTTGAATGTTAAAATGTCTCTATCCTGGAGTTGTACTTTCTGTCCACCTGTGTCATATAAAACCCAAAATGTTAACAGTCTGACTCCTAAACACGTAAGAAGAAAGCCGTCGTGTCTGTTAACTCCCTGACCTAATTTTCACTGTGAAAACTCGAGAAGAAAAAGTCTAAAAAAGATATAACTGTTGAAATAGCAACAGAACCTGCAACGGTTTAAGTTACCGCTGACAACTAGCTACATTTAATTAGCATCACACTGCTACTATGGGAATTTAAACAGTAAGAAATCATTTTACAACTTACTTCTCTGAACGACCGAAGACAGAAACCGCCTGGCGAGCAACATTCTCGTTATTTAGAATAAATATATGTATATTTATATTTTTTTGTTACAACATTATACTCTCTTTATACATCCATGCATTATACAGGTTGAAGAGTTTGCCCTTTTGTCCGACTGTATTACGTCGGTTTAGAAGAACAACAACGCGGCGGTTCCGGTTTTCTTCTTCTCTGTTTTACTTTACTGGACGTTAAGAGTGCCACCTAATGTATGGGAGTGTATTGTTTAATGTGGTGCTCACGTGGTAACTTTACAGCAGTATTCAATAGCTGTACACAAGCAACATTTTGATGCACTTTAATGCAGATTGTATTTTTACAACACTGCTGAATATTGTACATCTTACTTAAATATTGGTCTATAGTTTATCAAATGTGTTTTATATAGTTATTATACATGTTTTATTTAATTTGCTTCATTTTCACCAGTTTTAATATGAAAATGTTGCTTACTCTTCTGCATAATAAGTAATTGTAATACTTTAAGTACATTTAGCTGATAATCCTTTCGTAACTTTCCCTAATGGATATTGGGATATGACAAAGCATGTTAACATTGTGGTATTGC